CGGCAGCTGCAGGTGGGGGCGGCCCGCAGGAGGCTGGTTTGCTGACTGCTGTAATTCCCTCTTCTGGGAAAATGCTCCGCAGCCTGCGCCTTTGGAGGGGAGCAGGTGTCAGCACCATCTCTAATTACCCAGCCCAGCACAGCCTGGAGTACTCCCCGCGCTGCTCCAGCCCTGCTGACTCAGGCCACGTCATGCTCCTGACTGCGGAGGCCTGGCTCAGGGAAAGCCCTCTTCTCTCCACCCTGCTGTTCCCCGAGGCCTGTGAGTGCTTCATTCTGAGCCTGTGGAAAATGCCCTTCTCCACAAACTGACTGGACACAAGGCTGACTGGTGGCACCGAGTGGGGACAAAGGGGCTGGTTCCCTCTTACCATTGTCCTCTTCCCACCCCACTGAGCAAGAGGGGAGGTCATCTGGCTTGAGCAGAGATTGCAGGCCTGGGCAACTGGAGTATGAGAGATGCCATCAGGAGAGAAGCAAAGGGCTTGGGCACCTGCTACTGTGGCAAGGCAGCAAGGCAGCAAGGCAGCAAGGCAGCAAGGCAGCATGGCAGCTAGGCAGCATGGCAGAATGGCAGCAAGGCAGCATGGCAGCAAGGCAGCATGGCAGCATGGCAGCAAGGCAGCATGGCAGCATGGCAGCATAGCACAAGACCATGAGCGCCACACTGGGGCCCCGAGGCTCTGCCATAGCTGTGCTACTCCCGCCACATGCATGGCCTTTCTGGGTCTCAGCGGGCCCATCTTTAGAGGAGACATAAAGTAACTCCACTCCCGGGTCTGCCAGTGAGAGCAAAGGGAGAGACACGTGCCACAGACCGTGTTCCTGACCCTGGGCGGTGGGGAGGCCAGCCCGTGGCGTGGAGGTTAGGAGGGTGGGTCCACCCTGGGCACATTGGGGGGGGGCCAGTCAGTGCTGTGGTTAGGGAGGGCGGGTCTGCCCTGGGCATAGTGGGGAGGCCAGCCTGTGGCGTGGAGGTTAGGGAGGTGGGTCCACCCTGGGCACAGTGGGGATGCCAGCCAGTGCTGTGGTTAGGGAGGGGGCTCCACCCTGGGCACAGTAGGGTGGGGCCACCCGGTGGCGTGGAGGTTAGGGAGGGTGGACCCCACATGGTCAACTGTGCTGTTTGAGTCCCCAGCCAGTGGTTTGAGAAACATTGGGCATGTGAGCATGCATACCCCAAAATCACAAGAATACTGAAGGGATTGTGGCATGGCCAGCCCTTTGGGTGGGTGATCCCTCACTCTCCCTATTTCTTTCTGTCCCTCCTGAGAAGTGCATGCACCCTACAGCAAACTGAAAAATAGGGCTTTGGGTTGCCGGGCCACCTGATAGGCGGCTTTGTCCCACCGCAGACTGTCCTGTCATGTCATTCCTTGGCCTGGGCTTGTATGGCACTCCTGCTTTGTGAGCCAGGACTGCTCCAAGCAAACTCAGTCATTAATTCAGGTACTTGCAAAGCACCCTCTGGGAGGGGTCCTGGAGATTTAAAGATGAATGAAGTGCACTGGGAGGGGGAGGCTGTTCAGAACTAAGGGGGTGAGACAGTAAGAGGGGATCAGCGCTCAGGGAAGCTTCTGGAGTGTCACCAACTGGGGAGAGGGAGGAACAGGTAGCAGCTATAAACCCAGCCAGGGACTAGGGTGTTCTCAAGGAGGAAGTAGGTGCCAAGAGCCCCTCGGCTGCCAGTGTAGCAATTTCTGCCTTGGAGAGCAGCAGGGAGGGCACCGGCCGATGACCCCAGGCAGACAGGACACACTCACACAGCGACACCTCAGAGCCAGGGAGGAAACCAAGTCCGCAGGTAAAAATTATACTTTTATTTGAGTCACCAGGAGAAAGATTCACTTGTGGTTCAAGTCAAATGTTCGGAATCATAACAGGCCAGAAAGGTTTGCTCCCGAGCACAAGCCCACGACGGAGGGGACCAAAACAGACCAAAGAAGGGACAACAACCCCATATAAAAAGATGAAGGACGGCTTCACACACACGATAGAAATGTTGGGACAGAGGCAAATTCCCGTTTCTCTTTAAAGACAGGTGGCTGGGATGTTTTTTTTTTTTTTTTTTTTTCCCCCAGCTATTAAAAAAAAAAAAAAAAAGGCCCGAAAGTGCTTATGTGAAGGGAGAGAGGCAGAAATTAAGCAAGTTTTCCCTGGAGGGACGGAAGGGCGGGGAGAGAACAGGAAGCAGTGCTGGGAGAACTCATTTGCTCATCCGTGGGCTTATTGTACTATATTTTGGTCCCCAAAGTTCCTTTAGCATTCTAGCTTTGCGGCATCGGCTTTCCTGGGACTGGACGGGCTGAGCCCTCTGCCAACGGCAAGACCAGACCAGGGGCTCAGCCCAGTCCTGGGGGCTCCTTGCTCTCGCAGGGGTGGGCAGTTCCAGTAGGAACAAGGACCCCCAGCAGCCCCGGGGCCCTTCAGCACCAGTGTGACAGTCCTTCCTCCCTCTGGGGGTGTGTAAGAAAATGTCTCCTATTTTTAGGATGGGCAGAGCAGAGGGAGGGGCTGGCAGAAAGATCCCAGCAGCTGGCTAGCCTCGTTTTGGGAGGAAAATTAAGTAAAAACAGGCTGCTTCGGCTTCTCTGGGCTCTCCGGGTGACAGAAGCAAAGGGCACCCCCCCCTGCTAACTCACCCCCCCCACAGGTCCCCGGTCCCCCAGCAGGATGTGCCCCTGACCTTTGGTCCCCGAATCCACATTGTGCTTTGAGATCGAGAGGAAATGGAATGGACCGCACCTCCTCCGAGGCTGCTAAGATTGCTTCCCCGAGAGAGGTTCCCTCTGCCTCCTCTGGGCCTGAACACCCCTATACAACACCCCGCCTGCCCTCACCCACGCAGAGGCCCAAGAGGAAAAGGGATTGGCCAGGCAGGGGCTCCTCACCCAGACATTCCCTCCACCTGATTGGGGGAAACACTCCCAAATGAACTAACGAGTAGTTGACGAGGACACCCCAGGGTGACATGATTTCTAAACAGGATACACGGAGGGACAGGATGTCAGCCGTGGGCCCTGGTGGACACAGGGTAAAGACTGGAGGGGGACCCAGAGATGAATAAAGTCGGGCAAGGGTTGTCACAGCCCCCACGGGCGGGGAAGGATCTTGGATACAGCACCATCTTCCGCTTCCCGCCCTGGAGCCTGCGCTTCCAGTTTGTAGCCCTGGGACCGTCTCCCTTGCTTCAAGGGGGCGTTAAGAGCTCCCAGAGTGTGGGGGACACAGTCCCCTGGCCTGCAGCCCAGACACAGAGATGGGGCAGAGAATAAGCCTGGAGCTGAGAGGAAATGGAATGGACCGCACCTCCTCCGAGGCTGCTAAGATTGCTTCCCCGAGAGAGGTTCCCTCTGCCTCCTCTGGGCCTGAACACCCCTATACAACACCCCGCCTGCCCTCACCCACGCAGAGGCCCAAGAGGAAAAGGGATTGGCCAGGCAGGGGCTCCTCACCCAGACATTCCCTCCACCTGATTGGGGGAAACACTCCCAAATGAACTAACGAGTAGTTGACGAGGACACCCCAGGGTGACATGATTTCTAAACAGGATACACGGAGGGACAGGATGTCAGCCGTGGGCCCTGGTGGACACAGGGTAAAGACTGGAGGGGGACCCAGAGATGAATAAAGTCGGGCAAGGGTTGTCACAGCCCCCACGGGCGGGGAAGGATCTTGGATACAGCACCATCTTCCGCTTCCCGCCCTGGAGCCTGCGCTTCCAGTTTGTAGCCCTGGGACCGTCTCCCTTGCTTCAAGGGGGCGTTAAGAGCTCCCAGAGTGTGGGGGACACAGTCCCCTGGCCTGCAGCCCAGACACAGAGATGGGGCAGAGAATAAGCCTGGAGCTGCAAAGCCTCTCCCCACCCCCACCCCAAGCTCAGCACCCACCAACCCCATAACCACCCCCTTTTTGCACACTGCAGAGGATGGGTAGGCTTCCCCCACTCAGAGACAGGAGGAAAGAAGGATTTTCACTCCAAAGAAAACCTAAGGAACTTCTCTCCTCCGGGACACTCCTCTCTCCTGTGGGTTGTGAGAAAAACTTCAGGGCAGATGGCCCTGCAAACCCTCCTGGTGCACCTGGCCCTTCTCGCACACTCACACGCTTGCCTGTCGCAGACACCTGCGGACGCCCTCGCTCCTGCCCACCTTTGCAGGGTCTTGGAGATAGAGGTCCCTGCTGGCTCTGTGTCCACTAGGCCTTGGGTGGGCTGGGGATGCCTGGAAGGCCCTGAGACCTCTTCCTGTGAGGAGTAATGAGAAGTCCACTGAGCCCCAATCTGGGGACTGGTGCAGGCCAACAGGGCCCCCAGGGTTTCCAGCCAAGGAGGCGAGCATGGGGCCCTGGGGTTCAGCGTGGGAGACAGGAGAGAACAGCCGGTCCCCTTCCTTCCTGTGGCTGTCCCTAAAATTTAGAAAGGCAAGAACTTGGCCTAAGCCCTGCTTCCCGGGGAGCTCTTCACCCACCCCAGGGCTGCGTGGGCCGGAGGGCAAAATCACAGTGTGAGGAGGAACACACGTGGGAGACTCTGCGCTCCTTTGGTTGCCCTTGTAGGGGGGGCCCTCTGTGGCCAGCGGTTCCCTACTGGAGAAAGGTAAAGCCCAACTCCTGGTCCCTACACAACAGTGGAGCCCCATCCCTGTCCCCACCCCAGGGACAAGGGGCTGGGATCCCATTCTGGGGAATGTATGAATGTAGGGAGCCCCTCCGGGGGCCTGGAATGTCTCAGAACGTCTGGGTGTGAGGGGGTGGGAGAGAGGCAGACAGAGGCCGAAGCCAATAGGTCTCCCGCTTCGGCACAGCCCCAGGCCACGCCGGTCCCATCCAGAGACAACCCAGAGGCTGGAGGAGGGGAAGCCAGGCCAGAGGAAGGAGCCCGCGCAAGTGGCAGAACAAGGCTTCGGTTGGCAGAAGCAGCTGGAGGAGGGGTGGGAAACAACAAGCTGTCGCAGATTTTAAAAAAACAGACACTGAAGAGTGACAGGTCACGCCCCAGGTGGATGGATGCTGTGGAATGCGCTGGAGACAGGTGGGGCGGGGCGCTGCGGGGCTCAGATGGCCTCCACGTAGTTGGCCGGCAGCATCCCCGTGTCGCCGGTGCGCTCCACGGTCCCGTACATCCAGCCGTCATCGATCTGCTGCACGTTGACGATGGTGTCCCCGTCCTGGAAGGAGACCTCATCCTCGTCGGCGGCGCTGTAGTCGTACACGGCGCGGTACCGCTTCTGTGGGAGAGCACAGTCAGCCCCGCGCCCTGCACAGGCTCTGGGGGCCCTGAGCACTTCTTCCCAGCCCTGGGGACCCCGGGGCCGAGCACGGGGAGGGGTGAGTCACCACATGGGCCCCGGCTTTTCCGACCTCCTGTCTCACTGCCGGAGTGCAATTGCCCTTCTAAAGGCAGGTGGCATGGGGGCTGGCAGGTGGAGTGGTGAAGGACACTGGATTCCCACATGGTCAACCATGGTTCGAGTCCTGGATCTGGTGACTTGCTTTCTCACTTTCCCTTTCTCTCTGTCCCTCTCTGATCAAACTGAAATAAATAAATTGATTAAGTTTGAATAAAGTAACTCTTTTTTTTTTTTTTTAAAGCCAGGCGGCATCTACCAAGGGCCAGAATATGACAGGGACAGAGCTGCCTCAGCTCTCTCCTACCTCCTCACACAGGACCGCCGTAGGGCCCAACCGACACCATGCCATAGTATGCTGGACCAGCCAGTGGTATGGTGATTAAGATGGCTTGTCCCACATGGCCGAGTTTGTGGTTTGAGTCTCAGAGTTGGCAGCTTTGGAAAACAAGCTAGGAGCAAGCGTGTGCGCGTGTGTGCGCTAGCAAAATTCTGAGAAGAGAACGAAGGAAAAGGGACTGTCATGTGGCCATCCCCCCGAGGGGTGCTTCCCTCTGTTTGTCTCTGTCTTTCTCCAGCAAATGATGTGCCCTATAACAGAAAACTAAAAAATATATAATGTTAAAAAATTAAAAAACCACATGGCTGACCATGGTTCGAGTCTTAGACCTGGCAACTTGCTTTCTCGCTTTCTCTCTGTGTCTCTTTCTCTGGTCAAATTTAAAAAATAATGATGAAGGCTAAAATTAAAAAAAAATTTAAAAAAAAAAAAAAAAAAAAAGCGGCATGCTAGGCCAGCCAGTGGTGTGGTAGTTGAGACAGCTGAATCCCACATGGCTGGCTGACCAGACCTGGCAGCTCAGAGAACAAGGGGGCACAGGTGCGTGCATGCCCAAAATCCTGAGAGGAGACTGGAGAAGGGACTGCAGTATGTGCAAATTACAAAATAACAATAATAAAATCTCCATGCCATCTGCTGGCCTGGTATTTTCCCTTTGAAGTGGTGATAAGTCTGGTTTCATTCCCAAGTTCAGGACAAAGACGTCTCCTGGGAGAAAAAACTCCAGGGGTCGTAAGGTGTCTATGGTGCCACCGTCCAAACCTCAGGCAAAATGCTCTGCTTCAGCCCCAGCTCTAGGGAATGCCCAGGAGTGCATGTGAAAGCCACGCTCTGTCCAGGGCTCAAACCATGGTCGACTACATGGGAGTCCAGTGACATAGCCATTATGCTAATTGCCGGTCCCTTTTTAAGAGATTTTTATAAGGCATGTGTGCTTTCCAGAGAGACAGAAAGTAAGAAATCACCCCCTGGGGGGATGGCAATGCCACAATCCCATCTCCTCCATTCTCCTTTTGGGATTTTGGGGACACACACACACACACACACACACACATGGCTGATGCAGGTTTCAAGTCACCAGGTCCAGTGCCTTAACCACCACACCACTTGCTGGCCCCAATGCATTTCTTAAAAAATTAAAACATGGCATACCCTGTTTGCTATTTGTATTACTATATGCCCCAGAGTTTTGTTTTTTTTTTAATAGTTGTTTGCTATAGGGTGCATGCACTCGCTAGAGAAAGAGACAGAGACAGACAGACAGACCAACAGATGGTGTAATGGTTACGTCACTGGACTCCCATGAGGTTGACCACGGTTTAAATCCCAGATCTGACAGTTTAAAATTCACGCTAGGTGCATGTGATTTCTTGCTTTCTGGCTCTCTGTTGAGCGCATGTGCCCCGTTATCAAAAATTTCTCTTAAAAAAAAAAAAAAGAGAGAGAGGGGAACCAACAGTTAGCGTAATGGCTGTGTCGCTGGACTCCCATGTAGTCGACTGCAGTTGAGTCCTGGACCCAGTGGCTTAAAACTCACGCCAGGCGCGTGTGCGTGCGTGCCCAGGATCCTGAGAGGAGAATGGAGGAGAAGGGATTGCGGAGTGACTATTCCCCCTTGGGGGTGATTTCTCGCTTTCTGTCTCTCTGTCTGGTGAGCGCGCACGCCCTATAGCAAAAAAAAAAGAGAGAGAGAGAGAGGGTGAAAGCGAGAAATCACCCCATCACTCCCTGGGTATATGGCTACACCACAATCCTTTCTCCTCCATTCTCCTCTTGGGACTTTGGGTCTGCCCATGCATGCTACTGGTGTGTTTCAAGCTGCTGGGTCCAAGACCCAAACTGTGAAATCAGGCATGTAATGCAACCACCCTAATCTCCATGCCATCTGCTGGCCTGGTATTTTCCCTTTGAAGTGGTGATAAGTCTGGTTTCATTCCCAAGTTCAGGACAAAGACGTCTCCTGGGAGAAAAAACTCCAGGGGTCGTAAGGTGTCTATGGTGCCACCGTCCAAACCTCAGGCAAAATGCTCTGCTTCAACCCCAGCTCTAGGGAATGCCCAGGAGTGCATGTGAAAGCCACGCTCTGACCGGAGCCAGCGACACTCTGCCTTCCCCTGACCTCACTGTCCTTGACATCAACTCATGTCTGGAGTTCACAGGACAAGGCCTGAAATCCACGGGCTGCAGGTAAGAGGTCACACCCTTACGGAGTGACCTCGGTCTCGGTCACCAACCATGCTGCGGGAGTCTCCCCTTGCATCAGCTCCTGCTCTGTCGTCTCTCTCCCTGCCTCCACCCTTGACCTTTGCTTCCTCTTCTCAGTGCAGCTGCCACTGAACCTTTAAGGTAGCGTGGTGCCTTGGGTTCTGGACTCCCACATGGCTGATGACAGTTCAAGTTCTGGACCTGGTGACTTGCTGTCTCACTTTCCCTCTCTCTCTCTTTCTCTGGTTAAATTTAAAAAATAATAAATTAATTAAATGAAATGCATAATTCTTACAAACAAACATAGCCAGCCTGGCCCTGTAGGGAAGCACTGTGCAAAGGAAACTGGATCCCACATGCCACCCCCTCCCACCCGCTCTGGTGGCTTCAAAACACAGGCACCTGCGGCCGCTCTCGTGTGTGCGTGTGTGCCCAAGATCCCCAGAGGAAAATGGCCCACTCACCCCGCCCCCGCCTGGGGCGCTGCGCTGTATGGACACTGGGGCTGCGGGCTCCTTGTAGCCACCGTAGGATTGGGCCACCTGCTGCTGCTGGGGCTGCTGGTAAACTGGGAGGTGGGAGAGGATGATGGGCTCAGAAACGGTCCCGCCAAAGCCACCTCTCCCAGAGCCCCCGCAGAGGCCCACATGGTAAACCTCCCCGCCCTGCCTCGCTCAACCGCCATTTCTCCCAGACTTCTGTGCATGTGTGCACATGTGCTTGGTGGGTCCCCTACAGCAGGGGCCCACATTGGCCAGAGCCTGTCCTTCGGAGCCCCTCGGCCCAGCATGGGTCTGCCTCAGCAGTCCCTGTGTGGGGTGCATGTGCGTGTGGCACGGGAGAGGCTTCTCTCTGACCTCCCACCCCCACCCCCCTGGCTGGCCCTGACCTCAGGTCCTCTGTGCCCTCGGGCCCTACACGCACCGGGCGCGCTGGTCGGGATGTGATGAGGCGGCGGCGGCTGCTGCTGCTCCGGGGGCCTCCGGTAGCTGCTGCTGTCTTGGGGATCCCGGCGATCCGGCTCCATGCCTTCACCCCCACTCGGGCCCATGCGGCTCTTCTCAAACTCCTCATGGTATTTTATCTGCAGGGGCAGGAGGCACTGGTGAAGGAGCTGCAGGAAACCAACAGTCCCACCCCCGGCCGGCACTCGAGACTCCAGGATGGAAGCGGGCTCTGTGGTCAGGGTCCACCCAGGAGCACGAGCTGTGACCCTGGACAAACTCATAACCTTATCAAGCCTCGGTTTCCACCTCCATATAACGGGAGGGTGTCTCCCGCGGGTGTTGCCAGTGGTGCAATGAGGTGACAGATGTGAGAGGGCTGTCAGTCGTCATGTCCCTGCGCTGTGGCGGGTTGAGAGGGGCTGTCCCCGCTCCCACCCCTGTGGGCAATACCTACAGCAGCAACTCCCGTTTCCTGAGCCCTTACTATGTGCCAGGCTTGCGACGTGGTTCCCATCACAGGCACCTCTACTTTGTCAACACAGGAGGGGTGCACTGCCCTCCTACCTAAAAGACAGGAAGGAAACCGAGGCACTGGCAAAAAAAGCGCGCTGCCCAAGATCATGCAGATCCCAGAGTCAGTTTAATCAGCTCAATCATTCGGCAATTCTGCCTCTCGTACATATGACGTCACAGAGGCCAGAGTCCAAGGTCCTCTGCTGTGGGGACAAGAAACGTCAGACACTCCCTGAGAGTGGAACATTGTCCTCAGAAGGGGTTCCTCCTCTCTAACTTTATTTTGCCAAGGGCATGTGCTCACCAGAGAGAAACAGATAGGATTTGCAGGTTCAAAGAGCAAGAGCCAAAATCAGGCACTCTGGGCATTGAGCATCCAGTGCACGGATATGTGGGGGCTGGGGGAGGTCCTGAGTGTGACCAGAGCTTAGGAAGGGAAAGGGTAGGAGGAGAGACCTGGCCAGAGGCGGCTGTTCTCTGGACAGTGATTGGTTCAGGTATGGACACGTGTCATAGGCTAGGCCAACCAGAGAGTGCAGGGTTCTTTTCTGCAGGAGCTAAGAGGAAGCAGGTGGGAGAATGAAGGTCTGACGACGCTATTGGTGGCCAACCCGCCCACCCGTGGAGATGCCTCTGTGAAAAAACAAAGCCAGACAAGGACGACAAAGGGGGCCTGGAGGGCACAACCGAGAACTCCCAGTCACATCAGCCTGGAATCTCACGGACATATTGTTGCCAACGGACATATTGTTGCCAACGGCAAGAGCCCTCCAGTGAGTCTATTTAGGGGGGAGTGAGCCTGCCCTAGTTGGACTGAGAACCCCAACTCTCTTGGAAGGGCACAGGGTGCTCTCAGACTCAGGGCCAGTGCTTCGCGCTAGGATCCATAAGGAGAGGGAAGAGGTGACTCTCCCAAGCTACTCCGTAAGCACCCCTGGCAGGTGGAGGTGGGAAGACAAGAGGAGGCCAAGTTGTCCACCTAGACCGATGCACTTCACACACGTTAGCTCACTCGATCTTACCCATAAGCCTTTGGGGTAGGCACTATTATATCTCTCATATCCAGAGAAGACAAGGACCCTGCCAAGGTCACCCAGACAAATGGGGGTGGGGCAGGGATTAGGATCCCCTGGAGGCAGCCCGGCTCCCCGGTCAGGGTGGTCCAGCTTCCTCTCGTCCTTCAAGGCCCACCTAGTCCTTGGACCCAGGCCCAACTCCTAGGGTGCATTCAGGGCCCCTCGTATGTCCCCACAGCCCTTGGACTGTGCTGTGCTGTCAGTGGCGGGCGTCTTTCACTAGCTGGAAGCTCCTGGAAGGCAGGGTAGGAGCCAGTTATTTGGATCCCTCGGCCCCCACTGCACCGCATGCCCCAGGCACTCAGGGATGGCTGCACTGAGCAGACCAGGACCCTGGAGACCCTCCAGATCTCTGTGTCTTGTATCTGATCTCCAGGAAGCAGTGACAGAGCAGTAATGCTGATGGGCCCATACGGGAAGGTCCTGGGCCTGACTCCCTGTACTGCCGGACGTGGGCGTGCCCGTTATCAGGGGCCGGCTGCGGCTGGGGACCCTGATGGGGGATGCCTCTCTCTGCTTCTCTCTCTTCCTCTCTGTCTTCTGGAATAAACAACTTAAAATCTCCTCCATTAGGGCTGGGGTTCTGCGTTTTAAAAAGCTCCCCAGGTGAGTCTGAAGCAGGCTCTGGTTTGAGAACCAGTGGTCCAGAGCAGAAGTGGGAAAACGAGGGCCTGTGCGCCCAATCCAGCTCACTGCTTCTCTGCTTATAGCCCACGAGCTAAGAATGGTTTCCACAGGTTTTAACACTTGGGGTGGAAGGGAACGGGAGTAACAAAAGAGGAATAATAGTTCGTGACACATGAAATTTCTCTGAAATCTACATTTCATTCTCTAGAAAAGTTTTTTTTTTTAATTTACTATAGAGCACATGCACTTGCCAGAGAGAGAGACAGAGACAGAGAGAGAAGGAAAGTGAGAAAGCATTGTGGGTGGGGTGTTGGCCATGCCACAATGCCTTCCCCTTTTCTTCCCTCGGGATCTTGGGCGTGCACGCACACATGCCCGGTGTGTTTTCAAGCCACTGAGTCCAGGACTCCAACTGCCCAGTTCACCATGTGGGATCTAACTGCCTAACCATGCTGTCACCCAGCTGGCCCCTCTTTTTCTTCTTTTGTTAGAGGGCGTATGTGCTCACTGGGAAAAGGGAGAGCGAAAGGAAAAGTGAGAAAGCACCCCCCCATGGGATGGCCATGCTGCAATCCCTTCTCTCCCATCTCCCCTCTTAGGAGTTTGGGCACACATACACACAAGCGTGTTTTCAAGCTGCCAAGTCTGGGATTTGAATTGTGCAGCTGACCGTGTGGGATCTAGCCACCTTAACCACCATGCCACAAGCAGGGCCCCAGAAATAAAGTTGTTTTTTTTTCTTTATTCATGATAGGGCACATGCATGTGCACGTGACAGCAGGAGAGGGAGTGCGCATCCTCCACAGGTCCACCCTCCTCGTTCCCTCCAGTCCTCCAGCCCACTGCATCTCAGGTGCTCCTGAGTTTCAGGCTGGCCAGGCTGGGGATCTCAACTGTGGTCACCACGTGGAGCCCTGCTTCTCCTGAGCAGTGAATTTCCACTGCACGGCGGAGCTGGCTCACTGAGGTCTTCCTAGAACACCGCCACCCTTGTCATCTACCTCGCATCTACGGCTGCTTTCGTGTTATTAGCACAGAGCTGAGGAGCTGCAACAGAGGCCACGGTGGCCTGGAAGCCTAAATTATTCACTACCTGGCTCTCTACAGGAGAACTCGCGGACCTCGGCTTGCCAAATTACCTGACTGCACTCTCCTGTTAGTTACATATTTTTAGTGCAGTCCTCCCAAAGTACATGTATTTTATTAGTTACCCAGAAGTTATTAGTATTTTATAAATATGGAATATATATATAGTAAAACTTAAAAATATGAATTTTTCTTTTTATTCGTGATAAAGTGTGTGCACATGCATGTGGAGTGAGGTGACCTCCTATATTCAGCCCTCCAGCCTGTTGGATTCTGGGCACTTGAGCGTGTGCCTGGCATGTTCAGGCTGACCAAGCCAAGGATTCAAACCACAGTTACCATGTGGGATCTGGCTTCTCTTGAGCAGCACGTTACCACTGCATTGTGGAGCCAGCTCACTAAATATAACTTTTAAATGTACAAGGTGAAGGGGCCAGCAGTTGGCATGGTGGTTAAGGTGCTGGACTCCCATATTGCCAAAGGTGGTTCAAGTCCCAGACTTGGTGGCTTGCTTTCCCACTTTTCCTCTTCCTCTCTCTTGTCTCTCCCTGGTGAATTAAAATAATAATAAATAAATTAAATTAAATAAATAATTATTCAAAAAACGGGTACAAAGTGAGAAAGAACCAGAGGAAGCCAGCCTGGCAGTGTGGCAGTTAAGGCAGTCCTGAATCTGGCAGCCTGAAAAATACATCAGGCAAGTGTGCGTGCATGACCAAAATCCTGAGAAGAGAATGGAGGAGAGATCACAGTGGGCCACCCCCCAGGGGGTGATTTCTCACTGTCCCCTTCTCCCTCCCTCAGGTGAACTCGCTCACCCTATTCCAAACTAAAAAAGAACCAGAAGCAGCAGTTCTAAGGCCTTCTTCCCAAAACTTTGCTGGGTCTGTGTGTTGCACAGACCCCACCTGGGACACCCGCGGGGTGTCTACTAGCGAGGAACCTGGAAAAAGAACAACACTGGAAGGTGCTAAGGCCCAGGGGCTGATGCTCCGGAACGCTAGGCTGAGCGCTCCGGAATGCTAGGCTGAGCGATAGGCTGAGCGCTCCGGAATGCTAGGCTGAGCACTAGGCTGAGCGCTCTGGAATGCTAGGCTGAGCGCTAGGCTGAGCGATCCGGAATGCTAGGCTGAGCGCTAGGCTGAGCGATCCGGAATGCTAGGCTGAGCGCTAGGCTGAGCGATCCGGAATGCTAGGCTGAGTGCTAGGCTGAGCGCTCCAGAATGCTAGGCTGAGCGCTCCGGAGTGCTAGGCTGAGCGCTAGGCTGAGTGCTCCACAGTGCTAGCCTGGACCCAGTGGGACAGAGAAAACGGCTGACAGCTCCTCCTCCAGGTTAAAGCAGGACACTGAACAAGGAAACTGGTTCTACCCCAGGCAGACCCAGGCCCTGAACTCCCTCCAGGCTCTGGCCCCTGAGTGCAGGCTGGTTCTCACTTCCTGCTCACCAGGATCCTGCCCTGCCTTTTCCTGATTCTGGAAATGTGGGGGGAGGGGCGCAGGAGGGAGGAGGGGCACAGCCTGCTGTTTCCTGGAGCCGAAGGAACCCAGGAACCCCTAAGCCCGTGCTCTGGATGCCCTGGCCAGCCCTAGCTCTCTCTGCTGCCGCCGAGGTGAGAGTCAGCAGGGCTTGCAGGTTCCTAACTGGGCTAGAGGTTCGGAGCTGGGGCCAGCCAGGAACACTGCTGGCCTCTGCTGGCTAAATGCCATTATTTGCTGGGCCTGGGCTGGGGGACAGACAGGGCCCCCAGCTCCCACTCAGAAGGGCACCTGGGGTGAGTTCTCACACACCCATCTCCCCGTCTACTCCTTTAGTGCCTCTGTCTACAGGGAGACC